AGAGGTGGTGTTGGCGGAGAAGCCGCTCATCTCCGAAGAGACGGACCTCATCGAGCCCACGCTGCTGGACGAGCTCATCTGCTACATCGGCACTCTGGCCTCCGTCTACCATAAGCCGCCCAGCGCCTTTGTGGAGGGGGGCCGGGGTGTGGTGCACAAGAGCCTGCCACCCCGCACCGCCTCGTGAGTGAGATCGCCGTCCTGGGCCCGTGCCTCCCCCACTCCCTCAGCTCCTAGTGCAGGTGCTCGGGCTGACGTGACCTCCTCTGGCCAGGCCTGAGTCTGAGCGAAACTGATGCTGGTGACCGCCTCTAGGTACCAGTAGATGACCTCGCTGACCCTTACGAGGGCCCTGAGAGAAAATGTTGAGGACAGGAGGCATGGAGAGCTCCAGCGACTGCTGGCAGAGCTGGGCTCAGACTCACTGCTGCCCTGTTCCAGAGCCCTGTTCTTGCCTCCTCTGCCACTTCCAGGTGGCTGACTTGACACAGGGGCACGGTCCTCCAGGTGCAGGGGTCCAGTTTTCTCTTCGGCCTGAACCAAGGGGCAGAAACGGCCCTCTCCTCCTCATCCTCACCGAGAGCCTAAACGATGACTTGGACGTTGGGATGGGGAGGCAGATGGCTCCCGTGGGGACAGTGAGAAGACCGGTACCTGTTCTTGGGGAGATCCTAGAGACCTTAGACACCCCAGCACTCCCACCCTGGTGACCCGTTCCTCTCTGTCACCCTGCAGAAGCGAGAGCACAGAGAGCCCGGAAACCGCCCCTGCTGGAGCAGCCCCCGGTGAGCAGCCAGATGTCATTCCTGCACAGGGCGACCTGCTCGGTGACCTCCTCAACCTGGATCTCGGCCCCCCGGTGAGCGGCCCGCCCCTGGCCACCTCCTCGGTGCAGATGGGAGCTGTGGACCTTCTTGGCGGTGGCCTCGACAGCCTGGTACGTCCTGGGCACCACGTGATGTCTGTAATGATCTTTAGAGAAGCAGTCGGTGAACGCCCCTCTGTGCCAGGCACCCCAGCTGCCTCAGATACATTTTATCGAGTCCTTACCGGAGATTGTGTAGGAGAAAGTCAAGCCAAGAGGTCAGACAACCATCCCTCCGAGGTTGCACGGCTGTGGAGATAGGATTCAACCTCTTTGTTGGGCCACTGAGTCCCCAGAGACCTACGCTAGCCCTTTCCTCGACTCTGACTCTGTAATCACCTTTGCCCCAGAAGGCTGGGGTGGGGCACTCCTGGCTTGGAGGAACCAGACCTGAGTCCACTTACCCTCATGCTGCACCAGCTGGAGACAACAGCCAAGCCAGGCCTACATGAGGGAGGCCTAGAGAGGTGGGGAGCAGAATTTCCTCCTTTGTAGAGGAAAGTGGTGAGCCCAGCCCAGGCAGAGAGGTAGCTGAGCCCCTATATTTGGCAGGGTCCCCAAAGTTGTAGCATAGGGGCAGGAGTCTGGCAGTCAGCACCACCAGGGCTAGGGCAGGATGGACTGTGTGACAGAGAATGAGGGTGAGGGCAGGGTGGAGGTGGGGCCTTTCATGGTCTGGGCCACACTCAGCTCAAAGGACTAGCAATTAACTAATCTTTCCCTCTCTCCCTCTCTCTCTTGTCTTCCTGTGTGTTCTTTCCTGGCTTTTCTCTCTGCATGTCGCTGCCTGTTCTCTTCACCCTGCCTGCTTCTGCTTGGAGATGGGGGATGAGCCTGAAGGGGTACGGTTCAGCCCTGGTGTCACCAAGCCTTCGTCCCTGCTCCTCCTGAGGGTGCTGGCCCAGCCTCCCTAGGGGCAGAGGCTGTCAAAGCAGTCTCTCCCTGCTGGGCCTTTGGTCCAGTGTCATGGCAGCCTCTGCTTTGGCCACCTGGCATCCAGCTGTCACTGAGCCCCAAATTCAGAATTCTTCACCTTGTCTTCACAACCATATGACAAGTTGCCTTGTCATCCTGAGGACAGCCTGCCTGTCAGTCCACAAGAGCCTCTGACACCAGGAGGGAGAGCGCCACCCACCAGCATGTCCCTGCCCCGCAGTGTGCCTCAGGCCCCTTTTAGCCGAGGGCCGAGTGTTAGTTCGAGAGTGTCCCCAGCCCTTTCCCAGAGGTGACCCACAAAGATTCAAAGCTTGCAGGGCACAGGAGGGCTCAGTCTCTCCTCCACTCACCTCTGTCTGATGTCTGCAACCTAAGGGTTGACATGTAGGCTGCCCTGCCCCTGCCCCAAAGAGCCAGGTGGCTCATTGCAAGCCCTCGATGTCCCTGACCATTGCCTGCAATGACCTGACCTCTTTCCCGTCCCTTCCAGATTGGGGGCACCAACTTGGTGGCACCTCCAGCAGCTACAGTACCAGCCAACCTAGGAGCACCCATGGGCGGTGGCCTGAGCGACCTCTTTGACCTGACCAGTGGGGTGGGCACCCTGTCAGGATCATACGTGGCCCCCAAAGCAGTAAGTACCTCACCTCTCGTGGCAGGAGCAGAGGGAAGTGATGCTGACGCGTAGGGCTCATTGAATGGTCTGAGCTCTAGAATCGGCTCAGGCCAGCGCTGTGAGGGAGGCCGGAGCCCTAGGAGCAGAAGGAAGGAGCAGGCTTGGAAGTGGGGGGCTTGCTGGAGCCCAGACTTTAGAGCAACTCAGAATCAGCTGAGCAGAAGTGGGAGAGCGCTCTAGGTCACAGAAGCGGCAGGGGAAGGCCTGGAGGGGAGAGGTGGGCCCTGTCTGGGAGGACAGTGGTTCTCACTGCAGTCAGACCCACGCCCCTTATTCCTTATAAACATCTTCAGCGCCACCTTCACTATTCTTAAATGAAGTTGATAGTGTGTGACCTGCCTACACACACAATTTCAGAAGCAATCAGGTGC